GTCTTAAGTAAGTAAAGCAAGGTGCAGACAGTGTCCTGTATGCTACCACTCATATTAAAAAGGGGGGAGAAACATATATTCATGTTTGTTTGTCTGTTCATACAGTACCTCTGGAGAGGTATGTATACTTGCCTGTTCCTGTGCACACATTGTGCCAATGGTGACATTCTTTGTCTCCAGGAAGGGAAGCCAGAGATAGCTCATTTTTATTCTATGGTCTTCCCTACCTTTTGAATTTTGTAACTTGTTAATGAACTGTCTATCTCAATTAAAATTAAGAATTAAAAACATGTCATAGTACAATGGAACTGAAGAAGGACTATTTCTTCATCTTTAAGTGCTTGCTTCTATGGTACTTATAATGTTTAAATTCTATCTTGGTTTTTATTTATGATTAAAATGTTCAAGTAACTGACATTTATATAGCAATGTACAGTTTACAATGTGCTTTACACACACATTATGGGGGTAGATCCTGATAACAACTCTGTGAAATGGACATGCCATACTCCTCCCTACCCCAGTTTATAAGAACACTGAGTCTCAAAGAAAGAATTTAATTTCCCAGGCTCATATGGCTAGCAATTGGCAAAGCCTGACCTGACCTCAGCTCCAGCTCCACACATACTACATTTACACCATTACAATTTTTCAGAGCAAAAATGGCAGAGTAAGAAACTTCAAAGTCTGTCCCTCCATAGAGGCGAGGGATAATCCGGCAAAACCCGCCAGTACTGACGTTTTCAGAACTCTGGATAATAACCCACAAGGGCATGCTTAAGTAAGAAAAACAGCTGAATCTCAGTAAGAACAGAGAGCTTTGCGCTATTTTAACTTACACTTTTTCCATCCCTGCCCCCCAGCTCAGTGATCCCCTTGAGAAAAAGCCTGCAAATTCCTGGTACAGGTACAAAAGGGAGCAGAATAGACTCACTCATGAAGAATTCCAATGATTTCTTCTGACCTGTATGCTGTCTCCCTGGAAGACTGGCTCAAGGAACTTGCTTTACCTTGCTTAACTTGGCACTTGACTAGTGCTAAAGGAATGTAATGCTGGGAACATTTACAGACCAATCTTTTAGTCATGTCTGCCTGACATAATGGATAAGAATTAGGGAAAAGAGAAGATATCAAAAAGCTCGGGGTGCAAGCCTCGAGACTGAGGTGCCTGGGGAATAAGGGCTTTGAAAAGCTCCAACATATTATCTAAAAGGCCAAGTGCATGCCAGGGCTGTGCCCACAACTGGGAAAGACCTAGAAAGAACAAAAGCTGTCACTCTGGCGGCCCTCTAGGTCCTGTGCCAGCAGGATGCCAACGAAGGCTCAGGCAGGGTCAGGACCACCTGGCTGAGTGGGGAAGGTGCGCCCTAGCTCAAAGAGCTCAGCTCAAAGATGGGGAGGTCTCTGCAGTTCCAGCTCTTAAGAAAGTCTCCGTCTGGTCATTAGGTAACCATTACACTAATGGAACGGACACTTCAGTAGCCACACAAAACAAAGAATCCAGACTTCACAAAATTAGTTCAGCAGAAAAGTCACTAAACAAACTAACAACAGCTATAATAAGCAGCAGCAACACACTCTGGAGAGGAAGAAGAATCTGACTTCCAAAGTTGCCACACTATAATATTCAAAATATCCAGTCTCCAATGAGACAAGCAAAAAAAGTCAAGGAAATATCGCCCATACACGGGGAAAAAAGCAGTATCAATAGTTCCAAAAGAAACTGTCCCTGGGAAGTCCAGACACTGCATTAACTAGAAAAAGCCTTCAGATCAGCTGTTTCAAACATGTTCAAAGAACTAATAGAAACCATGTCATTACTGTGATTATTGCATAACATTGTGAATATACTAAGAAATACTGAATTGTATACATGAAAACAGTTAAAATAGTGAATTTTGTATTGTATGATTTTTTTCTAATTTAAAACAAATTGAAAATCTAAGAAAAAATAAAAGTACGGTTCTACTTGATACAAAGTCACTTTGTCTATAATCAGTAAGAGATTACAGTCATTTATGGTGACTGATAAATCAATTAGCAACACCCCTCCTCCCTGCTCACTGCCTTGGCATTTCATCCCCTTTCCCCCGACAAACTTTCCCTTCCTTTCTCTCTTCACAATGCGACCCATCCTTGAAGGTACCACCTCCTCCATGAAGTCATCCCCAACTTCCCGTGCTGGAGCACAGTTCTTTGGCCTCTGCATGGCCCGAGCACATGGTCTGCACCACTGGTCTGCACTTCATGGGCGCTGCTCGGGATCCTCGACCTTCCTGCACGAGCACATTCGTCTCCTATGTTGCGTGTAAGTTTCTTTAAGCGCAAAGTGAATTTCGAGCATTTCTGCATCCTCCTAATGCTTGATATTCACGGTCACCCTCAAGTTAAATTACAGCAATAAAGATCATTCTTCTAAAACCTGTTTCCATTATGGACCTCCACACACATAACTGTGCTAAAGCAAAAATTCTTGCCATACAATGAATCTATACAAAACAATTTGAGAATTAGCTGTTCTTTTATTATCCAATCACTAAAGAAATCTCTGTCTACGTATTAGATATAGTGGATGCTGAAATGCCCTTCAACCTGGTGCACGGGGACTAAAATGTCAACTTTCAGCTTTTGTGAGAACCATTTTAGCCTTTCTCGTCAGTACTCCACAGACTATGAAACAATCTTTATGATATAGGTATTTCAAGAACTTTGCACCTAACTCAACAAAACGGAAAGACCATGGACACACTTCCCACAACGTTTATAGTCGCAAGACAGTCTGACATTGTGTGAAAGCATCCAACCTCTGGCTCTGAGTTACGAACTACTTCGTGCCCCCCTGTGAGGAACAGAGGCCCTCGCTGAGGGGCGTCACCTCTCGATCCAGGGTCTTCCTCCGCAGCAGGCGTTTCACGCTGGGCAGCTGCTTCTTCAACAACACGGTGGCTTCGTTCATTCTTCTTACCTGAGTGATTAGGAACGACGGAACCTGGAGAAGAAAAATCGTTTCATTAGAGGGAAAACACTTGAATGAACCCTTCCTAGTAGATCCTGTCTTGTAAAGGTCACTCCCGGCTGCTCAGGAGCCTGGAACCAGGAACGGCGGCATCTGCCCTCCTGACGCTTAGAAAAAAACTCCGAGAGGGGCCGCAGCAGCGCGGGTTCGGATCCTATATAGGGCTGGCCGGTGCTCACTGGCTGAGAGCGGTGCGGACAACACCCTGCCGAGGGTTGCGATCCCCTTACCGGTCAAAAAAGAAAAAATAGAAGAAGAAAAGAAAAAACCTCCGAGATTCCCCTTTCCCAGGGAGCACGTTAAATTGGAGCTCGTGAAGGAAGTGTGAGGACGCCACGAGCAACCCGGGACTGTTTTCTCCCGTCTCTCCCTACGACTCGGGGAAGAGGTCGACCAGGAAGCCCTTGCGTTCCCCGTGCTGTGGGCCTCCCAGGAGGGGCTGGCGGCCGTCGCGCTGCCACCCACCTTCCACAGAATCGTCTGGTACTTGAGCGTGAGGCGGATGATGTGCGCTGCGGTGTTGGCCAACAGTAACTCTTCATGTTCGGAGTGCTTGCTTCTACTGAAGAAAAGGTTCGGTGCCATTATGGTAGAAATATTCCATATACTCATTCGGTTTTTTGATTCGTTGGCAATCACTTTGTTGAAGAATGTCATGAGGGCCTAACAAGAAACGGCACATGTCACACAGCGATCAGTCATCAACAGGCACCACCGATGGTTGTCACTGGTTTCTATACTCACTCACTGCACCGCTGGAAAATTGTCAGAAGTATAGGATGGTTCGATGTGTCCTGTTTCCCCTTTAATTGCTTAAAAGTGCTAAGAAGAAAGGCGAGCAGTCTATTCAACTGTCTGCTTCATAAAAGCAGCTCTATTTTTATAGAGTTTACTATATCGCGGTCTGTATAAACAACAGTTTGCATTTTCTTATTTTCTTTTATCCCAAACAAGTTTGACAAACATTAAAGTTAAATATAAACCAGGAAGAGAAAACACTGCAGCTCAAATAAACATGAAATGAAGTTTTGTGGTGAAGAAAGAAAACTCCCTTAGCCTAAAGCATTGCTACTGAAACCTACATAGTTTCCTCAGGACAGGAAAACCCATTTAAACAACATGTGTATCTTTATTCCTCAGCCTAAATATAAACTCTATTGAAGAATTAAAAATTTTTACTTTTCGGGTGCCATTTTTCTATTGCTGTTCAATTTTGAAATCTTCAGCTGGCCAAAGGCAAATTCTTATATGCATCATTTAAAAAAAGATTTGAAATAGCTTTAAAGTTTGTTTAGACACCAGACTATTGGTACTTGTCAGAACCTTCTGAAACCCACGCAGAGAACTGAAATCCCAAAAAGAGATGCTCTTTGGTTTTCCAACTTTGAATTCTACTACAGTATTTGTGATGAGAAAATGCATAGCACATAAATGTACCAACAGTTAACATTTATCTGAGGGTTTATTGTGAACCAGCATTATTATTAATACTTTAAATATACTCACTCATCATTCCAAATCCTGTAGGGTAGATACTATTATTAACGTTATTTTACAGATGAGGAAACTGAGGTGGAGAGGGACTGAGCAGCCTTGCCCAGCATCAGTTAATTAAATGGCAGAGCCAATTCTAGAGCTGGAGTTCTGACCTCTATACCACGCCAGCTTCAATCTTAGTTCCAGTCACACTGTAGAACGGAACAAAAGTGTGTGTGTGTGTGTGTGTGTGCATGCACACACGTGTGTAACATCTTTACCAGTCACATCATGTTTTTCAGAATCTTTTATTAGAAATGTATTGAATTATTTGATAATTGCTGCTTCCTCAGTTATATGACAGGGTAGATGATGTTTTCACTTGGAGAGCTGATACTAGATGGATTCTTTTTTTTTTCTTTTGATAAAATTGTTTAGAGAAAGCCAAAAAACAAGGTAATAAATTTCCGGCTTTTGAAAAATTGGTGAATTATATTAGAAACATATTTTTATGCTATAGCTAATCCCCATCCTTGCACTGAGAATATACTATAGTTGACATATAGTGTAATTGACATAGATGTTTTCACAGTGGAGAGGAAGGTCCTCACCACACTGAAATGTCTGAAAAGAGGCAGTGCTAACAATCATCTTTGTTTTCAGCATTATGTTTAGTGGCCTCAAAATTATGGGCTCATTCTTTTCAACTCATCCTTATTTCAATTCATTTCAAAGAT